TCCTCTCTCTCCTTGCTCCTCTCTCTCTCTCCTCTCTCCTCGTCGCTCTCTCCTCTCCTCACTCTCTCTCCTCACTCTCTCTCCTCCACTCTGCTCTCCTCACTGTCTCCGTCACTCTCTCTCCTCACCCCTCTCTCCTCCACTCTCTCTCTCACTCTCGCTCCTCACTCTCTCTCCTCACTCTCTCTCCTCACTCTCTCTCCTCACTCTCTCTCCCACTCTCTCTCTCACTCCTTCCTCACTCTCTCTCCTCACTCTCTCTCCTCACTCTCTCTCCTCACTCTCTCCCTCCACTCTCTTCTCTCTCACTCTCTCTCTCCTCACTCTCTGCTGCTCCTCACTCTCTCTCTCCTCACTCTCTCTCTCCTCCACTCTCTCTCTCTCACTCCTCTCTCTCACTCTCTCTCTCCTCACTCTCTCTCTCCTCACTCTGCTTCTCTCCTCCCACTCTCTCTCTCCTTCACTCTCTCCTTCCTCCCACCTCCTCTTCTCTCCTTCACTTTCTTCTTCTCTTCCTGGCCACTCCTCTGTCCTCCGCTTTCCTTCCCCCAACCCCTTTTCCTCCCTTTTTAACCCTCCCCCTTTGTGGGGTTTTTTTGCTCTCTCTCTCTCCTCTCTCTCTCTCTCTCTCTCTCTCTTTCGATATCTCTGCCCTCCCAGACCTTTAAACTGAAAGTATGAATATTATTATTGTTTATAATTACATTGTAACTATCTTAACTACATTTTCTCTTTGAACATTTGTCATTTAGTTAATCTAATAAATCAAATTCTGTGTTCTTACAAGTACATTCTGTGTTCTTGCCGTGTTCTTACAAGACAGAATTAAAACAATACATTTATCTGGATTATTTCAGTACAAGTTACAATTAGAGGTTGCACAATGATGGTAGCCTGACCACAATCCAAGGCATTAACATTCGACATAATTGCTGGGATTTTACTAATCTCTTTTTAATTTTTACTATCTTTGGATTATCTTTTAGATATTGTCTGAAGGCTATGGAGAAGTGGTGCCAGAAAATGCTCTTGTGTGGTTCCACTATAACAGCTATACCGAGGACAAGGATGATCCATTTGATTCATCTTATTTAAGAGGGTCAATTGCGATGCTAAGGCTGAATACTGGAAGATGCATATTGGGTCTTGATATTGGTCTGTCAACAATGAAATGTGAAGAAAAAGCTGATTTTCTTATTCATCCTGATTATGCCTATGGAAGCCTGGGAGTTCCACCAAGAATACCTTCAAGTAATTTGTATTACTTTCTTTAGAAGTGTAAGTTAGTTGTGTAAGATTTAGTATGTTAGGTTTTACCGTTTCCAGTTCCTTAACTTGTGATTAGAGAGGGGATGAATTTAAATTTCTTGGAGTCCAAAACAGTGTTTTTGAAAGAGAAGGCAATAAAAAAATTCAAATTCTTCATTTATAATAACTTTAACAGAAGTAAATGTTGATGACATTGAATAAGAATGGATCTTTTTAAGATGAAATCAATGTGGAAGATACATCAGATTACAAAATACATGGTAAAACATTGCGTTTTCGATCTTATTAATTTACTGCTCTTAACCTCATTTTCAGTTGATCCCATTTAAGAGAGAAGCTGTCTGTTGGTCTCATAGTTAAAGTTTATTACAATTCATTCCCTTCCCGTTAAAGATTGTTTGAAACAAATAATACTTTCTGTGTAATTTTCATTTTTTCCTGACTTGCAGCACCAATTTTTAAATTTATTTTAGTGAAGATTGTTACACGTAACTGTTCGCAGTCCTTAATATTGCATGTTTTTTGAATTGTGGTGCCTCTGGATCACCTGGATATTATGTGGTGAGATAGGAGAACCAGTGATGCTCTAATGACCTGTACTTTCTCCATTATTGGTAACATCATTACGTAAAACTTGCCCATTGCGGAATCTCAAGGGATCGGTATTTTTTCCGCATTGTGCTATGTAATACTGTAGAATATGTTTGGCAGGACCACGATTTATGTTTACATTAGACAGAATACCGCATTATTCTCATTCCCTTCTTGTGCAAGTTTTACTGTATTTTTATTTTATTTATTTATTTATTTAGTAACAGGCAATCACCCTGTTTTTACATAGAATGTACAGATATCATTCTGCATGGATATTATAATAAACTTGAACCTGCAAAAGTTCTTTCAACTAGCAAAAATGTTTGTCCAAGCTGGAATTCAAACTCTGGTACATTGGTTTAGCAAGAAATACATGTGACCTTTACCAATCTTGGTCAGCATAACAACCTTCCAAAGATGTAAAAAGAAAGTTGAATATTTCGCAATATTTCGCTGTATAATATTTGGTAACATCACTTAATTGGTTACTAGATTCAAATCAAGAAGGCCATGTTAATGTTTACAATTTTGACAGTACTTTTAAGCATATGAAGAGCATCTGGTTTTATCAACAGAATGAACAGAAAAGAAGTTAAACATTTCGTTTCGTTGCTTCAATGCGTTAAATCCTGTGCGGATAATTGCTATTGCTCGAATTTTTCCGCTTTTGCGTAATAAATACGTATAATTATTGGTGTAATTTATTTGTACAACACATGAAAGAAATTTTATGAACATTTTAATATTTCTTGATACCACTTCAGATATTTCTGTTATGATTCTGCAAACTGAAGAGTGACTTATTCTATAGAGATCTGCATATATCAACTGAAAAAATTGTAAAATAAAATACACTCTTTCATATGATGAATTTATCATTGTAAGGTAACCTATATAACAGTGTCCTCGTAGGATAACCTACAAAATACGCCCCGGTGGATGTTGCTTTAAATCTGTGTGCCATTACTGTTTTTGGGACTGGTTTGGATTCTCTTCTTCAAGCCCACTGTGTGAGTTAGCAGCAGACACTAATGTTCACAACCGAATCCTTGTCAAAACAAAATCTCTTCGTAAATTCTTGTTGCCTATGCATTTCTAAAGGATTTTCTATGTCTCTCAAATATTGTTTTGGTATGCGATTTTACATATAGATTTCAATAATTTCAGAAACTCTTAAAAATCTTTGATGTTATTCCATGTTGAAAAATAAGGGTCCACTGAAGGGTATTGATAAGTTCACTTATAAGAATAAGTGAATTCTTAAGCAAACACTTCCATGATGACTATAAATTGAAAATGCAAATAAGTAAACACTCCAGTGTTCCTCTAAAATAAGTGTCGACTATGAATACAACCCTAAATGAGATTCTTTGTCAAAAAATACTGATTTTTCTCTGCAGCATAAATCTGATTCAATTATTGTTACTTTTGACATTCAAACAGCTTTAACACTTTATCTAATTAGGAATTAAGAATGTCAAAAATTAAGTTCACCACATCCACAATTCAGCACATCCAGCTGATGAAACAACGGTAGTCAGTATCATGGAATCATAGTATACATAACCTTCACTACAGGATATCCCTTCTGATTAGACTTTTTACTCTTTTTCATTCTACCGTTTTCCTCAAGTCCCCAGAAAAGTATAAAGAAGGGGGTTCTTCTATAATTTTGCTGTGTTTAAAAGCATTATTAGCCCTGAAAATAATGCCTTGCCTGTTCTTTCTCCAATGACTTTAAGCTCAAAGGTTGATAAAGCTGCATTTAAAGTTTCACTAGTGGTAGAAGATGAACAAACACCTATATCTCTTGATTGTGAAACATCAGAATTATGTGTTAAAACATTTGTTATTCTTGGATTTATTCAGAGCTGCCTCTGACATAAATCAGCTGTTAAAGTATAATCCAATGGTATCAACCTCACAATAGTGTCACTGTATTGACTTTGTAAGCTTCCATTTGGATGACTCCGTAACAGCTGATGACCTGTCATAGGCAGCTGTAAATAAACTACAGTATAATCTCAAAGTTAAAAAATAATGATGGGATCTTCCTATAATTTTGATGTTCCAGAATTTGAAGCCAAAATATCATGTTAATTGTACTACAAAAAAATGAACTCTCCTGAATTTTTGGTGAGCCAATTTCTAGGAACAAATTATAAATTATTTTGAAGAACCTTCTCTTCCCTCTGACGATGGAAGTTGTAAAATGAATTTCAAACAATTATTAGATATGATGTTGCATGCACTAAAGTGTTTCCTTCTGGAAAGCAAAGTATTTATCAGATTAAAAATGTAATAAATCCCCCCAATATTTTGAGTGAACTCTGAATGGAAATGTTTGGGACCATGAAAAAGTAAAATTTATAACTTTGTTGTAACTGTCTAATTGAATTTATATAAATATTTAGTTCTTTAAAAAAAGGAAATATGATGCTCTTGCCCTTAATTGTATAGTATTTTTAGAATACTTCAGTTTGTGTTTGAGGTACTGAAACAAGAATAGTTAAAATTATAATTCTATAAATTTACAATATATGATATACATGTTGCAAAGTTGTAGGTTTGGAACATCAAATCTTATTTCAATTAGTTTAAGCTTACATATGGACATGTGTAATTTAGATACATGTGTTAATGGGTTATTAACCATACTGAGACAAATCCTAAAATAAATAATTCAATTATGTAAGAACTTCAGAAATATCCTTTTATAAAATAGGACAAGGGAAAGGTACAATTAAAATTTGAAGAGATTTAGAGTTTTTTGTAAAGGATTCATCCCATTAATTTATATAAATTGAATTTAAAAATCTAGTGTAAAACAAGAATAAAGAGATGCACCTGTTCTTTTGATAAAATTCATTGCGGAGTGAGATTAAATACTAGATTATTATGAAATGGGGAAATCATTATTAGTGAATTTGCAAGTTCTAGGTAACTGACTGAAAGCTCATGAAGTGAGGTTGGAGGTTGGGATCATGGGAGAAGAAGGGGTGGAGAATGTAATCTTATTGATAAAATGATAGACATATCCAACAAAAGTTTTATTCTGACAATTGGGTAACAAAACATTAAATTTGACCCTCTTTAAAAGAAACCAATGTCTCAAGAAACCAAAATACTCAATAATCAAATCAAAATTCAGTTAATTTATGTTTCATTAATTTATGTTCATTTATGAATTGTTTCTAATTTACAGGTAAATTCCTAAACTTCCGATGTTTAATTATTTCAGATTTATGTTTTATGTTTATTCATTTTACATGCTTCTGTGTTCAAAACAAAAATCCCAACTTTATAATAATGTAGTTGACCAATAACTGAATGCGTTTGCCATTCTAGAGTGGCGTAATCAGTGTTCGTTGCTTAGTTTTGCGAGTATGCGAAGCTTATCAGCATTTCGTTGAAACCTGATAGAAACTGTGCAGACGAAAGAAAACAAGAGGGTGAAAGGATAGTAAATCTGTGTCCACTGATCTCACTATACCTTTGCATAATGCTCATTTGTCTCTCAGTATGCCTTTGTGTAATTTTTGCCATCAATGCTCTGTGAACATTAAGCAAACATGGAATCAAGTGATAAGGGCTATTGTGGTGCTATTATCGCATTTTGATGGGAAATTTCAATCTTGTATGCATAGAAAAGTCAAGATCAGACAGTTTTCAAAGTGAGAACTTACTTTCTTGCAAATGTTATGTATTTGGAACATTACTATATGCATTTTCTAACATGAGAGTTTTATAAATGTAATAAGGGTTGGGTTTTTTTCCAGCGCCTAGAATTTCTTCATTTTTAGTTATGCTTTCTCTGAATTATTTATTTTTTCTCTTTAATCCCGTGAAAAACATCATTGATTTTTACTGTATTTATTGATAGTTTCCAAGAGACAAAAATGTTTAATTGATTTATTTCTATATTCAAGAACTGTTAGCATTTATGGTTGGAGTTATCAGTATTGTTTTTCAATTTTCTAGATGCAACTATTTTAATGCGAGTGGAAATGAAAAAGTTTGTGGATAATGCACTGGCAATGAAAATGGGAGAATTAACTGAAGAAGAGTTAAAAACAACACCTTTTGAGGAAGTTCATAAAGCATCCTTGAGTTTATTGTACAGTGGAAACGCAGAGTTTTCACATAAGAAATATCCAGTATCAGCAAAATTGTAAGTATTGCATTAGACTTTCATTTGAAATTTCAGTATTGATCAGAGTACCTCATAACAAAAAGACCCATGTGGTTAGTTTTTTAATATTCAGTTAATTTTTTTTTTTTTTTATAAACCTTTTATCATATAAAAATTTGCTTTAGTTTTTCCAGTTTTTTATATTTGTAAATATATGTATAAGCTTTTGGCTCTATTTATCTATGAAATTTCCATTGCCTATGGCACAATTCTTTTCGTAAGAAAGGAGTTTGTATCATGCAGTGTTACTATGAAAGTTTTGCAGTAAAAGTACAGTGAGTTATATTACACCCTAGGGTGTCTCACACACCTCAGTCTCCACATCTCTCTATTGGTGTACTCTTTATTACTCAATGCTCTCTTCACCATTGCCTCATCCACTCCCTCTCCCCTGTAAACCTAGATCTTCCTCTTCATCGATGGGTATCTGGTGGCCATTTCCACAATATTTTCGGCCAATGGACTTCGTTCAATCTTTGCATGTGCCTATACCATTTTAGTCGTTTCACTTCTGTGGTGTCAATTATATTAAAACTTACTTCCGCTTTACATTTAATTTCTTTGTTCTTAACGTCATACATTAAAGTCAGTCCACAACTTTGGTGACAGAAGTTCATTTCCATTGCTTTCAATTTCTTTTTGCTCTTTTTCATTACTTCCAATACGTCAGAACCATGAAGAACAATATTCTCTACAAGTCTCTACAGTTTTATACAATTTTCTTTTTGTACTCTTTTTATCTTTCCAAATCGGTGAATGTAATTGTCTTATAGCCACTCTACCTTTTGCAATTATGTTTCCAATATCTTCCTTACTGCCTCCATTTACATTTATTTCTGTACCAAGGTATATTAATTTTTGACAGGGTTTTATTTCTGATCCGTCATCTAGTTTCAGACCTTTAGCACTTCCTCCTTCAACCATACACTAAGTCTTGTTAAGACTTAATTTCTAAACCCCATTCAGTGCATTTTATTCATATAATTTTTGCAGCATGTATAGAGCATCGTCTTCATCTTCAGCGAACACCACCTGATCATCTGCCAAGTGTAGAGAGAATATCATAGTTACCAGTTTTAATACCCATATTACTACATTTCTTCCTCCATCTTCTCAGGGCTTCATTAATATATATTTTAAACAAAGTCAGGGCTACACAGCACCTCTGTTGTAAACCTTTATTTACTAGAAATGGTGCTGAAATGTTTCTCCCTACTTTTATTTGGCTCGTATTATCACTGTACAAATATTTAACGGCTCTAATCAATTGCGTATTTACATTCCGTTTTTCCATCACCATCTATAGTCGAGGTCTAACGGAACAGTGTCATAGACCTTTTGCAAATCTCTAAACACACTGAGCATCTCGAAGTTATGGGTGAAACGTTTGTCGGTTACCTGTCTAATACTAATTACGTTATCAATACATAAGCGCTCCACTTGAAAGCTGCTCTGTTCCTCTACATCAATGAGATCTCTTTTCAATGGTGGTTTTTAATGTTTTCCTATACACTAGGCCAATGATGTAAAGGACAGTTATGCCTCTTTTAATTTGCACACTGTTTTCTTTCACTGTTCTTGTAGATGTTAGATAGATCCTTTCCTGAAGTCCTTGGGTAATTTTTCCCCCATTAAACATCTATTGTCAAGTAAGTCAGTCAAATAAGAAGATCCAGTAATAAACTGGGGCCATGCTTTGGCAATTCAATGTTTATCAATCCTGGACTGACTGCTTTTCCATTTTTAAATCTCTGTATTGTTTTTTCAGTCTCTCTCTCTCTGTTATGTATTCCGTATCAGTGAGTTCCTCAAGCTCTGTGTTGTAAGTGTTACTAAATGCAAGCCTATTTCCTTTCAAAAGTTCTGCGTAATATATTTTAAATTGATCTATGTAGGTTGTACTGAATTTTGCTTTTCGTTTTGTCTGAGGTTCTTTATTATTTTCCATGCGTTCTTTGATCTGGCATTGGCTACTCTCTCTTCCACTCTTCACATACTCTTTCCCAAGCTTCATTTTTTGCTTTTTTTCTTGTTCACCTATACTAATTTGGCAATATCGTTCTGTCTTCAATATCTTGGGTGCTTAATTATCTATTTTAAGCAATTTTCTTGTCTTGCAATGAATGTTTTCAGACATTCAAAAACTATGAAACTTGAAATAATTATGGTAATTACATTTTCTCAAAATGCTTACCATGACATTCTATGCTTTTTTGTAAACCAGTTTTCGAAAGCTTTTTCGCTCATTTTCCTCAAGTGCTGAAAGTTCACTTTTGTAGGCATCAACACCTTAAGGCTTAAGAACTTCCTTCCTCGCATGCAGCTTTGAACTGTATGGAACAGAAAATAATTACATGGGGCCAGGTCAGGACTGTAAGGTGGGAGAGTCATTACTTTAACCTCTGTTTACTCCAGGAACTGACTTGTGAGGTTAGCCTTGTGAGGTTAGTTGTGTGCAGCCCCACTGTCATGGTGCAGGACGATTCCCTGAAGTCATGCCTTTGGTAGCCATTCTTGTAGCTGGCGAAATTTTGTAGTAGATACATTATTTTGTACCACAGAGCAGTAACAGTTCTTTGTTCTTTCAGTGGAACAATTGAGACATGACCGATTTTAGAGATGAATGTTGCAACCATTTTCTTTCTGATGCTTCGAGGCTGCTTAACTTTCGTTGGTGGATGTATGCTGGGAAAAATCCATACTGTAGCCCAGCGCTTAATTTCAGGATTGAACCATTAAATGAAAGTTTTGTCACCAGTAAATATGTCAGAAACACGCCTAGAGTTGCCTCTTTCGAATCTTTTTAACATTACTTCACACCATTCCACACAGATGGTGCTGTCATTCTGTCAAAGCATGAGGCACTCGTTGAGATGCAACTTTCCTGACTCGAAGATATTTGTAAAGGATATTGGAAACTGCTAGCGATCTAATCTGTGGGACCCTTCAATGTCCTTTTATGTCAAACGATTGTTTTTGCACACCAATTTCTCCACAGGTCCATTATTTCTTCAGTCACTGTTGTCATTGGACGCCTGTTCCTCTCCTCGTCTTTCAACAAAATTCTGCTTCTCAATTCTTGAAACTACCAAAAAATTGGTGCATGGGAAGATGCAAGGCCCCTGAAGGGCTGTTGTAAACTATCAAAGCTTTCAGATATGTTCAAATTGCATTTATAATCATAAAGAATCATTGCACAAAAGTGCTCTCTTGTTAGCTCCATTCTGGCCATGACTGAATGCCGTGTAAACAAAAAGAATGGTAGGCTTCATAGCAATTGCAATAAGCTGAGCAAGTTATAACTTGCATGCATTACTCAGAAAGGACATTGCAATCAATTCACGTTCTTGGAAAGGTAATAATAAACCGCATCCCAATATATCTCAAAACTTCCGTAGTAACCACCAGAGTACGTGAACAAATTTAATTTCATGTTTGAATGTGAATTTGTTTATTGTCCATATGAAGAGGAATTTAAGTACATACACTATGTTAAGAGAGTGAAAATGTTTCAGGTACCTAAAGGCTCTTCGGATGTTGGAGAACTGTGATATGAAAAGTGATGAGGATGAAGAAAAAAATGAAAAATTGAGATTTAAGCTATATTCAAACTTGGGGGTTTGTAGTAATAAAATGAACCGACCTAAAACCGCCATTGTTCAGTGTCAAAACGCACTTCGTATCAATCCAAATGCACCAAAAATTTTATATCAGTAAGTTCTTATTTTGTATGTAATATTAGCAAAGTACCATGTATTCTACTTATAATGGTGTTCAAAGGCCAACGGTAACATCCATGTCATTTTGTTTGTGATAATATGTGGTGATATACCCACTGTCAATATATAAACCAGGTGCCATGGAATGGTACAGACTTTCGTGAACTAGTTTGTTTACTATTCTCATTCGTCTGGGCTAGCTTTTTAATATTCTCACACCCTTTTCCTTGCTGCTTTGTAACTGAGCATAAAGAAATTTTTTTCAAATTTTCTCCAATTTTTGCCGATATTTCCAAAAGAAAATCTACATGACATTGATTAACAAATGATTGTGGAGAACAAATTTTATTTTTAAGAAATCTTTCTCAGTTATATGATATAATATGGGGAGGTGTTACAACAAATTTCCGACTTGCACAGTTTTCAAAACTTCAGAGTTAACAGTGAAAATTGGATGTATTTCATTGCATTCTAACGATAAATTTGAAGAAAACAATTTGGGTCCACTTTCCAAATATTTCAAGAATTATTTTTAAAAGTTTAGGGCTTTACGTCAGGCAGATTCATTGAGGAACATTCACTTCACCAAAAATCCTGTGAATAGTTTAAGCACTAGTGTTGTTGGCTGATGGCCAAACAATTTGAAAAATCCCTTTTTCGGTACCAGGGACCCCAAAAACGTGTGCTTTTATTAAAATCTTGAAAACCATTTCCGTAGTGGTTTTCACAAACGCCGCGCAATTGTTTAAAGAAATTGTTTAAACCATTTCGGCAATTTGCAATGCACCGTTTTCGAAAAAACATACCACGAGACGCCCTGCTTCGGGTCGTTTCATTAATTTCAAACCGCGAGATGATCGGGTAGCATTATATAATTTTCTCTATACTATTTGTACTACATATACTATACTATGTACATTACTCCATATATACTTTCAGATAAGAGTAAGTAAAAATCAGATACAAGGAACAGAGTTAAAAAATAAAAGTTTTTACTTTCTTATACAAGCTGACGTTCTCTGCATTGTAGAGATATTTATCACAATCATCTATTAGGCAAGAAGTGGAATTAATTATCTGTAGCAGATTCCCACTCTGCCTTATTCCAACTTGCTCCATCATATCAAGCCACTACCCTGTCTTCCTCTGCATGATTTCACCTTTCTCTGCCCTGCCAAGTTCACTTGGATCGTTGCTTCCACTGTTGTAGGTATCGCAAACATGGATAGTTGCATACTTCCAACAAATTTCCAGTAACAATTTTGACCATCAATTACACAGTGCAGTTGGATTTTATTAAAATATTTTTAGTAGGTAACCTTCTGTTTTTGCAGTAGTTTTTATCAAGTTCATGGGATTTCCAATTGTCTAGATATTCCAGGAAAGCTTAAAAGTTGCTCTGAAAATCTACTTACAGGGATGGGAAAGGGAGATAGAGACAGTTTTTAAAATTTCATGAGACCGTAACTTTTTCTTGTTTTGATGGTTAAGTATTAAAGTTCATTAAAATTGGGGTAAAACTAAGATTGTCTGAAAAACAATCTTCTTCTTTGTTTCATTGGACATGAATGAAAAAAAAGTAGCCCAAATTATGCTCGACGTAATGGTGTACCTTTCATTGAAATCCTCGTCATAATCGGTTTAGCCATTCCATAAACAAGCTTGGGCAGAGGCAAAAATTTAATGTAATATAATGATTGAATAATGTAAATAAAGATATGAGCTCTTAAAAACAGTTATTTTCAAATCACTGACTGTCACTACAATTAATTAATATAGATAGACATGCAACCTACCTTAGAATTTGTCTCTCCTGATAAATACCTTTTATCTTTGCAGTAGTTAAAGGAAATGCATGTTTATTTCAGAAATTATAAAATTTGACCTTCACTTTTGACTACACTTGGGTTGTTATAACCTGGCACTGGACGTAAATCAGCTGTTATGGTGTCATCCAATCTGGAGCTTGAACATTATCACAGTGACATAATTGTAGCTTAAGTTAAGTGTAGCTTAAGCTTAGTTTAAGCTCCCAATTAGATGAAACTGTCAACAGCTGATTTACATCAAGTGCCAGGTTATAAAACCCCAAATATAATTTAGTGACAAAATCTGTAATAAACCAGTGCGAGATACTCTTATTATTACTACTTAATTCTGTCCAATACTACAGCTCAAGTCAGTGCCTTCCAGTTGGTAATTTGGGCCGGTGAATGTTACATAATCTTCAGTGATTTTGTACTGTAGAAGAATGAGAAGTAGAAGAGAAGAACTCCCTCTCTGTTGATTCAGTGGCTTTGTGTGACTGGATGCGTTGTCACAGTTTAAAGTAATCTGACATCTAGAACTGCTTACCTTGTAGGAGGACACATTTTTGTTCAGAAATCATACAAAGCAGTACATCTTCACTAATACGTTGTTCACGGGACTGAAGAGGAAAAAAGTGCGAGAAAAACTCACAACTGGAATTGAATATTACAAGCTAAACAAAAACTCAATATTTTAATTTTGGGACACTCCAGTCTTGGATCTGCATGCAGGAACTCCTCCCGAAGTTACTTTTATTTATTTAGTCAAAGAATGGTCAAAACTGTACGTGACATGTGAGGGAGAAGTACCATCTGCTCACTTAAGAGAAATTTCCCTTCTGTGGTAACTGCTCAATGTCCTTTTGGACCTGTGCGTTCACGAACCGGATCTGATGGTCTTAAGGGATGATTTTAATGAAATGTCTTTTCTCTTTCTCTTTCGAACGTTTTACTTTTAGTATAGCAATGAATTTTATGTTATGACATTTTTATATGACTCTTTTTTCCATTTTTCATGCTTTATTATTATTATTATTATTATTATTATTATTATTATTATTATTATTATTATTATTGAATAAGTCATGTTTGTCAGTAATAAATGACTGCTTACCATAGGACTCAGTGTATATCTGAAAACTTTTCACCTTTTGCCTACAGACTGGGTCTTGCTCATTTGAATCTCAGTAGTTTTGATGAAGCCAAGAAATATGCATTTCTTGCAAGAAAATTTGCACCTAATAATCCTGATGTCAGCTCACTCTTACAAAAGGTATGTACTATTCTTGATTGGCTAATATTGTACAATTCTTCTGTTATTCTATTTTTCCTCTTCTTCTCTTTCCAGATTGAGAAGAAAATGGAAAGATATAATTCATCTGTAGTATCATTTGCCAAAAATGCATTTGGATTTGAAAATAATAAGTCAGTGAAAATGATTCAGTCAGTGGAGAATGATCAAGTTAGTTCTCCTGAAAACAAAACATCAGGAAGACAGAAAATCATTGAAATAGAGGACTCTCAAGAAGAAAAGAGTAAAAACAAAGCACCTAGTGGAGACACTTCGCTTTCTGCTGAGACTTCAGTAAGTGATATTTATTTCACAAATGTTGTTTCTTGATTACAAGGATTAATACATTTCATTTGGAAATGGCTTTACTTATTTGTGAAGGCTTTATTTAATTTTTGTAAGTGAGAGCATGTTAATTGTGAATTTATACTCCTATTTGATCACTTAGTGTGTCATTTATGACTAAATATTTTAAAAAGTATTTTTGTATGTTAAAAATTTATATTTCTGCCTATCCCCCTACATTGAAGACTTTCCTTTATGACTTACAAGAGAGAGGTGTGTGTATGAGTGTGCACATTTAGATAGTTTCAAGAGCGACAATCTAAATCTTCAACAAAAATAGGGCCTCATACATCGAGAGAAAAATATCGATGGCTTGGTTCACAAATATTCTATGACAAACCATAATCGTTTTGAGTTTATGTATTTTATGGTGACTTCTCATTATTACTTAACTTGTGTACGAAGATTGTGTGTCCATGTAAGATCATTATTTTTCCCATGAAGCAAACATTGTTGGTCCATAAGTAACAGCACCTTTACCAACTGTCTAGCTTGGTATTCCCTAAACTAGTAATTCTGGACGAATGTTCGATGCCATCTATATAGACACAGAGACAGACACACAGACTTTGCAAAAGCATTCCTAACACATCGACTGCTGCGATTGCGATAATTAGTAGGAAGAAAGTAGAAACCATGATTATCAAATTCATTGATCACCAAATCTCATAATCACCCTCAATCAAAAGCTTTGGATGATAATTGAAGTGTGTCCTTTAGAATCCATTGTATTATGCCAGCTAGAAAGCAGCAGTGCTAAATGCTGCTTTGATGAGGCTCATTTCAAACTAGAGAGCCTCTTGAGAAGGGAAAGCTCTGGTTGTAATGTTTGTTTTGCTCTTGGAGCTTTGGGCCACCTTGCAGGTTCGAAGACCTATGTGGGAGGAATGGTGTTATTGTACAGGCTCAGAGTAGCATATTCTTTCTGTACTGTCTTGGGTGAGGCAATATCTAGAGGACATGTTTGTGCAGTGGGGTACGCTTTAGGACCTACATCCACACGAAAAGGACAGGTTATTAGCACACAATCTGTAGGAACATGAGATATGGATGGTGAGAGGGCCGTTACTGGGACGAATTTGAAACAAATCCGTAGGAAATTGCCGCACAATAATACAATAATTGAGAAGCTCCCATGGGAAAGCACTTCCGTTCAAAAAATAACTTTTTTAGTTTTTTATGAACCTACACATCTTGAAGCATCTTGTCACGAGACTGATGCCCATGGCATGGTAAAGTGCTTAAGACTGAGCATTATTTACATTACTTTCCCTTGTTTCCTTGTGATGGAATCAGTTGTAAGTCCAGGCAGCTTAGTAAAGAGAAGCATGTATGACCACATCCATATTGTACTGAGTTATAACGCTTTGGTTTTAACATTTTAATTATAATATGCCATTTTATTAACATAACCATTACATATTAACATAACTATTACATATTAACATAACTATTACATAATTACAGTAAATAAGCTATTTGAATTACCATTGTAATTAGTTACAATGGTATTGAATCATTGTCTTTTGTGTGCTATGAATTACATTCTAATGTGAATGTAACAACAACATAGAGGACTGGAAGCAATGTAGAGATTTTTTTGAAATGCTGATTACTTAATTAAGTAGTTACTCTTCAAACTCTGCCACAAAATGAGAAGTATAAGGATTTTTTCCTGTAATTTTGGGGATAGTTTATTTTTTGCAAACAAAAATTTCTTGAACGTTTATTTGTTTTCAGTGTCATGTAATGATGTTTAAACTAATAAATTTTTCAGACAAGGAGTTCTGAACAGTTTTTTGCTTCTCGTTCTATATTATCAGTTGGACTTATGTGCTTTCACGCAGGAGCTCTTCAATGTATTGCTCTACATAATAGGGCTGTTTAAAAAACTCTGCTTGTAGTTGCAATTCTTTTGAATTCAAGTTCCTCTGTCATTGTCAGTGGTAAGATTGTGTTTCTTTTAACTCCTTGTTATAAGATAATTCAATAGGTAAGATACCTTTTATCGTGGTGACCCCCCAATACATACCACAAGCGAGAAAAATATCGGGTCACAGCATAGGCATTGCCCATGCTCCTGAACACGTATACATTTTCACAATTGTTGCAAGTTCTCTGCTCAAAAATTAACTTGATGCTTATGGAGAGTTGCTAAATTTTTAGGCTAACAAAATAATTTTTGAGACCGTGATTGATTTTGCTTTAGATGGAAGCCCAAGGCTCCCATTTCAAGATGATCAATGGGTTGTTTTATTTTTCTCTCTCTCTCCCCCCCCTTCTGCATCCCTTTTTCAATTTTCATCAGACTCATTAAACATGAGCTAAGAATACTTTGTGTCTGATGTGAAGTTCAGTGTTAACATAAGAATCATCCAATGCCCCCATGATCTCTAAGGAAACGAATTCATGGAATGTTTAGGTCTTGATTTTTCTTGAACGAGTTAAAATTTTACTTTATTCTGTTTTGTAGTCCATGTTTAAATAATTGTAAGATCACATTATGTTTATGTAGTAGCATACATAACATATATGGTTTCTTTTTGTAGCTCCAGAATGACCGTGAAGCAGAATTTCAGAAGGAGGCAGTCTCATATATCCAAGAATGTTTTGATGATCCAACTGTAAGAGAAATACCATTGCCTATTAGTTTATCCTATGAGGAAGAGAAGTTCTTCCTGACCCAGGCCTTAATGTACGGTCTCCGAAAGGAAGAAAGACGTGAAGATGGAAGGACACAAATATTCTTTGTCAAATGAGATGGTTTGGCAAACTGCAGTTTGGTGCTTTATTTTCTTTCTTTGTTTTCTTCTTATTAGTTTTGCAACAGATTCCCCAAAGTCTCATGGTGGAATTTGGGGTGAAGATTTGTGTGGAATGTTGTTTTTTTTCCACCTTGACCTATGTTGATTTTGAACAATTTTTATACACGAGAGTTATGATCAAAGAGTACAAAGTTTACTTTTTACTACAAAGTTTACAACTAAGAAGTTTTAAATATATAAACGCTTATATTTTTTTTTTTGTAGATGCCTTTCAATGCATTCATGATTTTTATCTTAGACATTCATTGGGGTTGTAATACGTTCCATGGAAAGTTTGCAAGAGCGTTGCGAGCAGTACATTTTTATGTTTGGACAATTTTCCAAGTTTTTGAAATTGTTTTGTTTTTGTGACAGATTTGACATCGGGCCTCCTCAATTTTGTATACTCAAAAAAATTTTCATTGATATTTTGAAATTAGGATTTTGTAAACTTGTACAATTTTGAAATGTTGTTTATTGTAAGAGCTTTAAATTGTTAGAATTTGTGCATTACATGTCAATTTAATAAAAATGGATTAAGGAGCATTTGTCATTGTAATTTTATATTCTTCGTGTGGTTCAAATGCCCCTGGAATTGATTCACATATGAAATGATGAATTAAGATTAATTCAAAACCTTTCATTTGTTGAGAATAATCATCCAATACTGTTGAAACTGAGAAATATTGCTTAGATGACTAGAAAAGCATTAGCAGAAACTGCGACGAGAAGTTTTATGTATAGTGTTCTCATCAGACGAGAGAATTCTGAAAAACGTGATGCTTAATTGCCAAAATTATTTCTTTCAATTAGTATTGAAGATATTATTATGGTTACATCTGCCTATCCGAAAACAAACGTTCTCCTTATGAATTTCACTTTCATTCATGCTTTCCGCCCTTTGCTCAGCGTCTCAGCGCTGGATGAAAGAAACTACATTATTAATTCTTGCTACCAATGTACCACCAACTTTCAATGCACCCAATATGCATATTGCTTAGCTTCTTCGCACGAATCACACGAAAATGGTTGCGGTGCCTCTGATTTTCAAACAATGCAAGCTTGTCGCATCTGATGGGGGAAAAATTGGATTCTGAGAAATCTGGCAATGAGTAAATCTTTCGTAGCGGCTGGCCAGGAGATAGTGCAATCTATTGGTGATTTTTCGAAGCAGTTGAAAGTCAGTTTCAAAGAGCTTTGTCCTAAAATGAATTTTTTGTCAATTGTGAAAGAATTCACGCAGTCTTTGATCGAATTGACTCTTGAAGGTGGAAAGTTTGAAATGTACGTTCTTCTTAAATGCCTTCAAAGAGTAGTGAAACTGAGACGTTAGAAGCGTGGTACCAAATTTGAATTAATTTGACAACCCATGTACCAACAAATACCATGTGAACCTGTGAAAATATATTGCCCCTAGTAAATAATAGTTGTAAAAGTGAAAATATCTTTTTATTGCAAACCAGCAATGCCCAGCCCCAGTACTGTGTTGTTGCACTATAGTCCTGGTGCTGTGGATGGGCACTAAACATTCTAATATCATCATAGCCTGTTACAACCCCAGAGAGTAATCTACCTTCCAATTGCTAGGTGGGTTACTATAGTGCAAATCGTAGGCACCCTGGTCTGGACTTCTGTTATACAAATACTATTTACAGTAATAATCAAAAAGGTACATTGAAGAACTATAAAAAATGAATTATCATTTTCAATATTGAATTTGCATTTCTTTAAAATTAGCATTTTTTAAATTTTGCACTGCATTGACTCAACTAAACATTAAATAGCTAAAACTTGAAAATGAGAGAAAAGAAACTTCTTTTACAGTTTTGAGTTTATGTTTATTCCAAAATTAACTTGCAGACAAAGTTTCCTCTCTGATCACATTAATTCAACTTTTTTTTTTTTTTTTTTTAATTTATTTATTTTAAAGCTCTAAATTTTGTCACTTTTACAATTACAATTTTCAACATTGGCACTTATCTAATCGGTCTGAATTCGCACATTCTGGTATAAGTTAATTCTATTGGATTTAGAAATAATTTTCCACGCCCGACAATCGTCCACCCAGGTTGATCGTTGTCTGCCAAACCACTTTCAGTTCATCAATTTACTTTTTCTCCTGCCTGTCAACATTTCTCTTTTCAAGTTGAGACTGCAGATAAGGTTTTCGAGGATATTAGCACAAGATTTGAAGATACAGTAGATAAAGGAGGTGGACTTACTCAGAAAGCCAGCATGGCTTCCGCAAGGCTCTCTCAACAATCGATGCTGTTAAGCTTTTTGTTGACACTGCACTGGAGGGATCAGATGGATAAGAGGTCCAAAAACGTACTGTGCAGTCGTAACATTGGACATTAAGAATACTTTTAAACTCCACAAGATGGAGATGTTGATAAACCACTCCACCAAATCAGTGCACCTACCTGAGAATAGGGGCTGAATATCTGAATCGAATTGTAGTGTACATTACAGATGGACCGAAGCTACATATCACCGCCGGCGTCCAAGGTTCGGTGCTGGGTCCACTGGTGTGGAATATCGTGTATGATGAGGTTACTAGCCTCCCACAACCAGAAGGAACCAAGATCACAGGCTTCGCAGACCACATTGCCATCGTCGTCGCAAAAATTGTGGAAGAGATAGTGTGTATTTGCAATGAAACCATTGCCATTCATTGGTTGGATTCCGAAGAATTGCAGCTTGCCTAACATAAGACTAATGATACCCGTAACCTGCAGAAACAAGAGAGAATCCATCATTCTCAAAGTCGGTCATCACAAAATTTCATCGCGACCTGCGATAAAATACCTCGGCGTCGTGTTCGACTCGCGCTTGTTCTGTAGAGACCCCTTGGACTAGGCCAGCAAGAAAGCAGTGGTTGTGAATGCTGGTGAAGACTGGAGGGCCTTGCCATATAAAGAGCAAGCTGCTTACCGTGGTCGTCGTGTCGGTTCTTCTCTACGGATCACCAGTTAATCCAACGCCACAAGTTATGAAGCGCTACGGAAGAGGCATGCCTTCAATGTATTGGCTATCTGCGCTCAGGGTTCCGTGTACGTTCCGCACCGTCTCAAATGCAGTTTGCGTCATAGCCAATTAATATAATGGCCCGTGAACGGCAAAGGCGTTACGACAAAAACACAGGAAACAAAACTGCTTGGAACTATTAGCAGAAAGACAACATCGATGGGACACTGCCTACAAGGGAAGATGGATCTGTCGAATCGTGGGTCAGTCGAAAGCACGACGCTGTAAACTATTTCACGCAGCTTCTAATGGGACATGGATACTTCAGAGCCTAACTTCACAGGTTCAAACTGAATGATACGCCGAATTATCCTGTGTTCTAAACTGCTGTTGAGGACGCCCAATTCGTATTTTTTTCATTGCCTACGATTCCCACCTCAGCAACGTCACTGCTGAGATATCTGGTATAAACCAAATGCCTCCAGAAAACGTAGTTGTATGTATGTTTGTTTCTGAAAGCAATTGACTTTTGCACAAAACTTATTGCTGGGATTGAGACGTCTAAAGGAAGGAGGGATATCTCATCCCCCACGCGACCAACTTCATGTGACTGGGTCACTATTCCACTCCGCGATGTAATGCTTATAGGCCGGTCCGCGTGGGGGTGGTTTGATTGGAATAAGAAAAAGTTTCGCACGCTGGGCAGTACGGACTATCCTATGTCTTGAAGTTTTCCACTAAAACGAAGGGGTGGGGATTTCTTTTATTTAAATAGAAATAATAATAATAATAATAATAATAATAATAATAATAATAATAATAATAATAATAATAACCTTTAATACTACTCCTCTATTCGAAGAAAACGAATAATTATTTGTGGGCCGACAGCCGTTCGTACGACATTTCGACACCGGAATCTTAGGTAAGGGATTATTTATTTTCGTGATCGGATCGTGAAAATTATGCTATTGTTCGTTTAGGATCGTGAAAATTATGCTATTGCGAAAATAAGTACTCCTTTCTGGAAATATTTGCTGTCTGCTGGTTATCAATAGAATAAAAACCCGAACACGTAATTCAATGCCGCAATGCGCTCTTTGGCGTTCCCAATCACCCATGGCCACGATTTCCCTTTTTATGATTAATTTATATCATTACTATTCCAAATCTTGGGCCGTCTTACGCATTAAAAAAAGTTCTAATATTCCACTTCCCTTTTGCCGTTCCTCAGCCATCTTGATCAACGTATCTTGGCATTCCATGCCCATTCTTGGGCAACATTCACGTCACAAACAAAACCGTACCATTTTACATGAAATCTCTCTCATTCTTACGCATTCAATTAACTCTTTTTCACATGTCAATGAGTTTACGAGAACTTCTCCATGGTACCTCCTGCTACTGTCAAAGTTCGCGTGCATCTCTCTCGGCAGTTCATACCTCGCGCTGCTCAATTGTTCTCCGATGCGCGATATTGTCCGAAAACTCGTCTCTTCACAAGCTATGCGTCTCTTTTTTTCTGATTGACCGATCGCATATTGATACCAAATCTATTTATACTTCGATTTTATTACACAACTTTCGTAATTATATTTTATACTAAAAACACTCACGCGCTCTACATTTCAGGTATTTTTATTTTTGATGCCAACTTTCGTTAATTCAAAAATACGTCTTCAGATGGGCGGTCCGCATACAACCAAAGATCTTCTCCCCTTCTGGTCTTGCTTTTGCTTTAATGTGTATTTTTCAAGTGAATATGGTTTCTTGATGCACTTACAGAAATATGTTTATGCTTTCAAGATAATGCCCAGTGATAGCTTCCCACATAAAGCAGTGTGCAGCAATGCCGCCGCCTCGATAGGCAGACGGAGTGAGCAACGGTCGACTCATATACACGCAGAGGCTGAAGTCCAAGAAGAGCAGAAATTAGAATTTTTCGGGTATAGAATGGTTGATAAGTACTCGTAGAGTTGATAGCACAGAAACGCATTTGCATCTCTCGTGAAGTCTGTAAATACGCATTCAAAATTAAGTTAGTGCTCTGTAGTACGCGGTGGCATGTGATAGTACAATCGTCGCATTATTAAGGATTCTTAATTGTGATAGAGTTGATAGTAATTATAGTACAGTGTATAGTATAGTCGTTCTACTAGACCACGGAGTGTAGAGTGTATGGTAATGAATTCCGTTTGAGTGTAAGAGGAGAGGTCGCGCGGTGTCCTTGCCCCGTTTATTACGGGACTGCTTCGTCATTCGTCTGTTATTGATCACAGGAAACTATCAATCAGAACAGCCGGCAGTTAGAATATTCCTCTAGAAGGTCCTACGTTGCTAGTGTCCAAAATCCCCCCCCCCCACCTCCGTGACTCGACCGACCCCGACTCCGTTTGCGGTAAGATACCTTCATTTTCTGAACCTTGTGACCGTTGGGTGTGCGGTAACACACGTCTGTGCGGCGACTTAGGAGCCCTGCACATCAGCGCCTCGTAGAATAACACTATCTTATGCTAAGGTTACCAGACGCCCCGTTTCCCGGGGGACACTCCCCGGATAAAACACTCCTGTACTGCAATCGATACAAGACGCATTGTTATGTAAGGTAGAAATTGTGTTTGAGTAGTGCCTATCCTCTTCCAGCGCTCTCCAACGGGAGATGCTAGCTTCCTCCTTTCTACCTGCAGCGCTTCCCGCGGAAGGTTGCAGAATTAACATCGCCGAGTTTTCCAGCCGTGGTTGACCGTTGTTTACACCAGCATCGTCAGTTTTATAACACGTCCACGTGCAGTTGTAATTTACATTGTAGATTGAATTGAATTTGCCTTATTTTACGTGGCGAGACTCGGGCCATCAGGCCCGCTCTTCCGTCTGACCACACAAATTTCGCTACGCTCCTTTCACCAACTAGGAGAGAAAGGAGGTATTTCTTGGGCGAGAAACAGGCGATTTGAATTTAGCTCAGAGGCGTCATTTAGGCTTGAGGATCTTTTACATGCAAGTAAATCTACGAACATGGGACAGCCGGCTTTACTTCCCCTCCGAAG